TATAATATGTTAGCCAACCGACATGTGCTATGTTTACAAAGATCACATATACATATGTAAAGGAGTATAGAAAAAGAGACACAGATAGAAAAACACTTATATAGGGATCCTCAGCTGGTAGACCATGGTGGGGACCTTTTGGGTCCAACCCCATTAGCCAAATTTGATAGATGGACAGGGCAACCCACCTGTCCATCACATGACATAATTCAGTTTAAATCCCTTCAGACGTTATCCAGACATGGGAACCAGAAAGCAAGGAGGGGAGGTTGGCAGCCCTGTGTTTTGCAAGCCACTTCATGACACTCTTTTCTATCTCCAAAACTAAAGACTCAAAGGAACAGCACAACACGGCTTCAAAGAGCTACACTGGGAAGGAGAAACTTCTCCCCTCTCCTTGAGCAAGACATTCTTTGCTCCAGCAAAGGGACAACTGGGGGCCCACATGAAGCTCCCAATTATTCCATTGAAGGCCTGGCTTTTTTATTTAGAAAAATATTTATATACTGATATTCATACAAAAATATCAGAGTGGTTTACAACAATTGTACATAAAACCATATAATAAGAACCATATTAAAAGGTTAAAATCAGAAACAAGCTGAGGATGTCAGGTGTAGGATGGGTGGACAGGGCTTCCCTAATTTGGTCAGCCAAAGGAGGAGATGTCATGGGCCTTGTTGTGCCCGTGGACTGGAGGCTCCCCACACCAGTGTAAAACCAATCCAGCCTCTGGCAACTTCCCTCCCAGCTCCTCAATAGTTCTCATCCACAAAGGCACAAACAAGTGGGAATGAGCAGGCGAAGATTTTAAAATGGGTGAAACACTGTGAAAGCACTGTTGTGCTGTATACAATCTTATGACCAGGGATTCCAAGTGGGAGAGCAAATTGTCCAAACAAACTGTCCCAGATGTACATACCAAATCGGAAGCACTTGCAGAAGTAGATTGCATTGTGCTGGTATCTATCCAACCAGTTGAGGTTGTGCTGCTCTTCTAGGACGCTGAGGGGATCAGCCTCCTTCACTGTCAGAGTCAATGTTCAGTAAAGGCCTTTTAAGGGAACTGGTCCCTCTCACAGAAGGCCAAAATAGCCACAGGGAAGTTTCTGTTTAAGTCTCAGTCTTAACATGACTGCTGAAAAAAATCTCTGTTTTAGAAGAAGAGTTTGGATTTGATATCCCACTTTATCATTACCCGAAGGAGTCTCACAGCGGCTAACATTCTCCTTTCCCTTTCTCCCCCACAACAAACTCTCTGTGAGGTGAGTGGGGCTGAGAGACTTCAAAGAAGTGTGACTAGCCCAAGATGACCCAGCAGCAGCATGTCGAAGGAACGCGCTGTTCCATAGTACTTTAACAAAGGTTCTTATAGAGTCCCCAGGCTGAACCCTGCAAGGAACCCTGTCCATAGTACTTTCTCATGCCTTGCTTTGCACCCCCTCATCTCTGTGCTGCTGAGGTAGTTAAGTCCAAACGAAAAGCAATTTCGTAGGTCTCCTCCCCAAAGAACACCTTACAGACCATCTCCCCAGCCTCTGTTTAATTGGAAGACTTGAAGTCATTACTCCTGTCATGTACGTTGCATGAGCAGTGCCTATTTCTGAGGAAAGAAGTGCAAGCTGGGAAGTGTCCCAGGATTGTGGATTGATCTCAGATTCTGTATCAAGCTGTGGTCATCCAGATGCTGTTGGACTACAATTCCCATTTTCCTTTGCCATAAGACCATGCTGGCTGAGGCAGATGGCGAGATAGAGTCCACCAGCATCTCAAAGACCACAGCTTTCCCATGCTCACTCTATGCAGTATGTTGGCACATGGACAGGGCCACTTCAGATGCTTGCTAAACAGGGGGCCCTCTAGTTTGCATATCAGTGACAGGGAGGTGGGACTTTGATACGATAATGTTTATTAAATGTTTTGATCACTTTCAGAATATTCTGTTGTTCTAGTGATGTTTGCTGACATGGACTCTCTCATGAGAAAGGCTGTTGTTGTGAAAGGTGAACTTGAGTAATTAGCTAAAATATTAAAGAGCAGTAAAAGGAGGAAAAGGAAAAGCAGTGAAGCCCCAAAATAGCACTTAGATTTATTGTAGACTCTTTTACTACACTGGTTCAGCCTAACATCTATTTTGACGAATACACTTCCTTCCTTTGAGGTTTTTATGAATGTATTTCTAATAGTTTGGCTTAATGGCTATGTTTAATTTCTGCAGTTCTGTTTTTCCAAGTACATCATTGCCTCTCATGAGGTTCCTGTATCTGTAGAGGTGGGTAGCATAGAAAAAGGAAGCAACCCTTTGCACAAAAAGTTATAGTAAAGCAAACCAAACTTAAAGTGGCATGATGTTTTACCAGATTCGAGGCTCATTTTAGAAGCACAGCTGCTGCTCTACTTAAGCCTGCCAGACAAAAACAACCCATTAAAAGTGTGCTTATGCCAGATTGCCAGGTCACATCATCTAGCTGAATGGGTTTAGGGTCCAGCCTAAACTCTTCCTTCTTGGTCTTGCTCATGTCATGCTGCCAGAATGCTCATTTTTGGAAGTTACACCGGCCTTGTCTCAGCTAGCTTTGGTTCAGCAGGCAGAGCCCTGGTTGAACTGGGTTGAGCAAGTTGCACCTTTGACTGAGCCAGGGTTGGGGACTTAATGCTGGCTGAACCCAGATGAGTTGGGAATCAGCTGGCTTAACAAAAGAACCATTGCATCGCAAACTCCCAATCTAACAGATCTTCCCAGAGTGCTTTGACCAAAAGAAACAATTCACCCACTAGATATTTGAGTTACCTGGAGACCCTGTCATATAAAGAGCCAAGTCCCCCGCCCCCCCAAAAGTGTTTTATTCTTTTCCTGTCATGAGATTCCTTATACTGTATTTCCATAAAGAAAAGTTTTTTTGGGGGGAGGAAACACAACAATGGAACAATAATTTGATATGAGTAAATTTTGATGAGCTTCTCTCAGATTAATTTGGAAATTGTCGCAGTTCTTCGAGGCAGAAAAATAATCTTCCTAAACCAGTCTAAAGGATCACAGAAATTACCACTTCCACATCTCCAAGGAAGCTGGAGCCTCTTTCCATGGGGATACGAAGAGAATGGCTGAATCCTTCACAGCTGAGATAGAATGTAATAAGACAAAACTTGTAGCCAGACAGCAGGAAGGACCAGGATCACTTGCCTTACAAATCTGTTGCTCTTTCCACTCTAACATCAGAAACTGCTGGACTAGGGATCAAAGCCCTGTGGCATAAACTTGGCCCACGAGGTCTCACAATGCAGCCCAGGCACTCTCCCTTCCTTATAGGCCATGTTACCTAGGGGGCAGATTGTGTGCATGGGTGTGTACATGCTTTAGCTCAGGCATGTCCAAAGTCCGTTTAGGGGGCCTAATCCGGCCCACCGGTCGGTTTAATCCATCATTAAAAAACCTCAACAACTTCAATCCTAAAAAAAGCCTGATAACTTAAATCCTAAAAAAGGTCAACAACTATGATTGGCCCTATGGTAGGTCCTCACAGCCCTTCACTTCATCAAATCTGGCCCTCTTTGAAAAAAGTTTGGAAACCACTACTTTAGATCTATCTTGGGCAGGAGCTGCAGGTATCCAACCCCATTCACTTTATCTTGAGGGAATACTGTTCTTGGCGAGGGGGGGGATTTCCTATTTATTTCCCAATAACAAAATTTTCACCACAATTAATTTGTGAATCTTCTCTCTATCATGTGAACTAATCTACTCATTTTCACAGCACTTTCTGGTGGAGGAAAATAGGATAACGGATGAAAAGCTGCCTTTCTGATCATCAAATATTATCTTGAATGTGCCTGAGGGTCACAGATATGTTGAATAGTTCATTAGAAGGAATGGTGTAAAATTATACATCCTTGAATCGTATCTGCAGCCACATGTGGGGGTGTTCCCCAGGGGAGGGGATAGAAGCATACATGCTGCAAAAGTCGTGATGATTTCCGTCTCATCTGTGAGAGAAGTAGAAGGAGCTGAGAGTCAGAGGTGGGGACAAACATCAGATTGGGAAGCCAACTCCTGCCCTGCCCTGATGAATCTCTTCTGGGTTCTCTGTAAGTTTGGGAAACTGGGAGGGCAATTTGATCTGGGGAAAGTAAACTCCATAATTCCCATCAGAGCTTTCCTAGGAATGTGTGTGTTTGTGTCAAAGATGGAATTACTCATCATTACCAAGAATGGAAGAGTGGTTGTTAAAATTAATGGACTTGGCTGAGATGGTGAAACTGACATGTTTTATCAGGGAAATTCTGGAACATGTGAAGGAACATGTCCCTGTGTGAGAGGGGGATCAGCGCGATTGGTGGTGGTGGACAGAAGGGCGGGAGTGGGTGATCGTAAAGCTTTGACCCCCGCCCTTGAGGACTGCAGAAAAGCCAAGCTGTTTTCAACAGACATTTTATAAAATAAACTGAAATAAGGCCTTCTTCTTCAGCTTGTGGAGGACATTTCATGAAAACATCTAACTTCTTTTTCTTCTTCTTCTTCTTCAGCATCATCATCTTCTAGTACTATCTGCAAGAGAATAAAGGACTTCGGTTTAGGAATGACTGGGTTGCACAGCATAATGTAAATGTACAAATTAAAGAAGTGCTAGTAGAGGGAACAGTGTGAAACGCATGGGAAAGGGCAAATTTTATTGGTTTTTCCTCAGCTCTGCATTCTGACATGCTTGTTCAATCTCTTTCAACCCCATGCAGCCTTTTGCACCCAGAAAAAACCTGCAGCAGAATCGCAGGTGCTCTGACATAGAGGAAACCTGGCAATTATATGCCATTACATTGACTCTCATTTATATGTGTATTATTTTCATAACTGGAAACTACCAGGGATTGCTAGAAAATACTAAAGCCACTCCAAAGAAGCTGCAGCCAAAAAAGCAGGTCTGGAGAATTATTAAAATACTGCTCTGCCCTTGTGTTTACTTGTTAAAACATATTATAAACATATTGCATGGATGTTATTGCAGGTGTTCTGCTTGCAAATCACTGGAGTTTGGGTGATGACAAAGATTCAGAGCTTTGCACTTCTACAGGTGAGTTTGAGACTGTGCAAGACTGTGTGCGCTGGTGTGTGTTGCAGAGAATGGTGTGTGTTTCTTCCTCTACTCAAACCACATGTCTAATGCTAAATGTTCATTATCAAAGAAAGTCTGGGCTGTTTTGTTTCATCATCAAGCTTTTGGAAAATATGGGATGTACTAGAGGCTGCCACCCACACTTTCTCAGCTCACCAATCCCTCCAGCCCTCCATCCCCTCCACCTGGCTAACCCCTCCTCCATTTACCCCTCACTCACCCCCTTGCCTATCCCCTCATATCTTGCCCAAACCTCCTCCCCCCCTTTCAGCTTGGCTGAACCCTCCTTCCCTCACATTCTGACCATTTACTAAAGCTATTCTGACTTTCTCTCACATCCTGCACTGCCTGCTTTTAAATGAGGCCAGGAGGGGCTTGAGAGAGCAAAACCACTCTCTGAAGGGCCTCCCATCCTCATTTAAGCAGCTCATGTGGGCTGGAGCTAGAGAGTTGTTTTATCCTTAAAAATATCATCCTATTGGAAACTTGACATAGGATTGCCTCATAAGATATATTTTGCTTACCTAAGTATTCATCTTCCATACCCTTTTAACAATTAATTTGAGATTCTACAACCCCAGATTTCTAAATAAAAATTGAGGTGTGTTAAGATGCTTTAAATAAATAAAATAAATAAATAAATAAATTTAAATAAATAAAACAGAGTAGAACACTTGTATGCCAGTTCCCCCCCAAGAAATAATTTAAAGCAATATACAATAAATAATTATGAAAAATTGTGCTAAAAAGCAGTACAGTAATACAAAACTAATGGTGATAAAACAATCTAATTCTACATGATTATTCAAATGTTCACCCTCCATAGCAATTACATTTTCACTTACTCTCTGGATTCATTTATGCTCTTGAATGAATGAATGAACGAATGAACTTTATTACGGCCACAGACCAGCATAAGAAAAACATATAATAAAATAGTGGTTAGGATTTAAACAGATAATTGTTAGAGCAAATAAGGACGAAGAAACAAGCATAGGATAAAACATATGAATAAAATATTAGATTAAACACTGATAATGGATGAATAAAGACTGATAATTAAAACAGATAAAAGCTAAGAAAAAAAGAAATAAAAACATGCAGTTTAAACAACTGTAAGAAGCAAAACTTAAGGGAAGACAGGTCTTGCAATATGGGCCGTCAGTTTAGGACTGGTTTGTGACACAAACCATCCTTCGGTGAATATCCATCATGGCAGCGCAAAATCTAGCTACTGAGTATGTGACATCTGGGTTTTCATCCTGGAGTAGTAGGGAGATGTTAAGTTGTTCTGTACGTCCTGAGGATTTTTGCAGGATAGGCAGGATAAACCTGGCCCGTATGTCTATGTAATACAGTGGTACCTCTGGTTAAGAACGTAATTCGTTCTGGAGGTCCGTTCTTAACCTGAAACTGTTCTTAACCTGAGGTACCACTTTAGCTAATGAGGCCTCCTCCTGCTGCTGCCGCGCCGCCGCCACTCAATTCCTGTTGTTACTGGGGCCTACTTTGGGAGGTTCGCTATGCTTTCAGGAATTTGGCCTTACCCATCAGCTCTATCCCTGTAGAGTTCCTGAAAACGTGTCTCCCTAATCCTTGACGGGATATAGGATTCTGCCACTAATGGTTTGTTAGGTTGGGAGAGCCTTATGATGTTCCAGAAGAGAGCTGCATTAGGGTTCTGTAGGATGAGGTCTGCAACGTATCCTTCCAGCTCACTCCATTGGGTTCTGATATCAGATTTCTGGCACATTGGGGGCATGTAGGCATTTATAAATAGTAGAGCCTTCTCATTGAGGTGGAGCATAGTAGCTATGGCAAATGTCTTAAGGGAGGGGAGGGGCATTGGTGTAGAGCCAATGTTGGTAGAGATAAGGGTCCCCAACCCCCCTTTTGCTCTGCCAAGCCTCTTCCCTGGTTCAGCTCCGGTTGTAAAGGAATTATATCCATTTAATGATATGTCATCCCTGGCCCAGGTTTCCTGAATCAAGATGATGTGATGTTGTGATAGAAAATCAGTGAAGCAAGTACCCCTGATAGATGCAGCCCATCTGGCTACATTCCAGGTTTGGAGGGTGACCTTATGCTGGCCTGTTGGCTGTCAGTCCCTCTTTCCCTCATGGGATGGTTGGTGGGCTATTAGTTCCTTCTGTGCCTTTGGAAGTATTAGGGAGGCATGTGCTGCAAAGTGGGGATCTTTGACTAGCAAAGAGCCAACTTCCTGAGCAGGGACCTCATTTGTCCTGTTCTGCCAGAGAGGTAGTGGGGAAACTGGTCCTCCTGTTTAACGGTGAGTATCTGGGCACCAGTTGGATTGTGAGTTTTGGAGGCATTAGGCAAAAGTCCGTGTGTAGCCTGGGTACTATTGTATGGTTTCAACTGTCTGTCGGCGACATGGGGTTCCTTGAAGGTTATTAACATGGGAGTGTCAGGGTTGTCAGAGTCCCCCTCTTCATCTCTGTCACTTGGGAAGAGATCAGTCAGATGCACACATGGCCTTCTTCATGATGGGGAGCTATTGGTCATATTTAAATGCTGTGTTTACAGTTCCAGTGTCCTTACGTCTAGAGTTGAAATTTCAGACTTTATGCTTACTAATCTCCTCTTCAGCTCTTATAGATCTAAACTCAGGGTTTTATTCTCCCCCTTCGTGCAACTGGCATTTCTGTTATTTAATTTAGTTTCACTTTTCAACATTGGCTTTGATTCTCTGCCAGAGATCAGCTGTCTCACTGTTTCGACCTTGAAGACCCTTATCGGGAGTGAGTCTGCCGTAAGATGTTTTTCATCTGCATATGTCGGGATGAGGGCTGGTTTGCTAAAAGTCATGTATGGTATTTCTTATGCTGGGCAGAAAGTGGAATTTTTCCAGATCTACATTTTGATAGTGGCAGTTCAGAAGCTGGGATAGGGACGTCATGATTGACCTGCGATTCGTCCATCTGTGCACATTGTGGTGAATCTCAAGCATTATTTGATTTTTTTGAAGGACTTGGCAAGATCTTGTTACATCCAGGACTCAGGTTGTTAGATCGATGATGCAGCTGTGCCTTGTCATCCTTTTAACCATTTGAGTGTTTGTGGAGGGGGAGCACGTGTCCAGATTTTGCTCTGTATTAAATAATTTGGTTTCAAATTTCAAAAATAATTTCAAAAATAATTATTTCAAAAATAATTGAATTTCACTCAGTCTTTGAAGAACTAAGACCATGGTTTCTGCAGACATTATGCAAATTTCGTGGTAGGGGTGTATGTTAGAAATCTGTTTAAAACAAGCTCCTCCACTGTCTTGTTCTAAAGAGATGGGTGGGCCAGCATTTGGTATAAGGGGAACCCCTCTTGTTCCTAACCTCTGCGTCAGATTATCTCATTGCCTCCCTGAAAGGGAGGGGGTTCCCATGACAACGTTACTTATTATTTGTTTGGTTTCCAATCTGGGGATGAAGGTGTCAATTTTCAGCTGCTTCTCTGCTTTAGAGGAGTCCCAATTATGCTGTTTGGGCTATTCCTTTGTGAGTCCCAATTATGCTGTTTGGGCTATTCCTGCCTTTTTTCCCTTCTGGCAGCCATTCCAGTAAAGTTAGCAGAGTTCTACCAAGCTGGAGTCGAGTCTTTGCAGCAATGTGTTAGTCCAAAATTTTAGCCAGTAGACAAAACTGCAGGTCAGTCACAGAGGCAGGCTTCATCAGGCGTCCATTGTTGGGGTAAGTCAGGTTGAGCAGTAAAACAATACAACAATAAACTAAAAACAAGGAGAGGCGATAAGGCAGCCATTAAGATGTTAAAAATGTGAGATTAGAATCAGGAAATGGCTAAAAACTACTTAAAAGCTTAACTGAAGACAGGAGCTCTGACTAGGCTGCTGTCTCAGTCGCCATCTTGGATATTTTTGCTCACCTAATTATTGATCTTCTATACCTTTTAAATAATTAAATTGAGAGTTTACAACCCCAAATTTCTAAATGAAAATTGAGGCGGCATTAAATACTTTAAATTAAAAAAACAGAATAGAGCACTGACATGCCACTTTCCCCAAAAAGAAATAATTAAAGGCAGTATACAAGACACAATTATGAAAAAAGTGCTAAAAAGCAATACAGCAAGACAAAATAATGGTGATGAAGCAATCTGATTTGGTCCATTGCAACTACATTTTCACTTACTCTCTGCATTCACTTATGCTCTTTATTTATTTATTCCGTTTGTTCTCTAGGTGAACTTCCTGCTCCTGATTTATTCTTGAACGCAACTTTGGTTCCTGAAGGGGAAATTATTGCAGTACTCTGTACGGCTCCATCAGAGGTCATGGTGACCAGATTTTTTTTCTGTAAAGATGGGGCTCCTATTTCATTCAAGAAAGCAACATCTCAAAATGTTCGAATAATCGTAAATGCATTGCCGAAGAATACTGGCCAATATTCCTGTGGTTACCAGCAGAAGGATGCAAAGAACCAAGAGAAGACTTCTGCCCTCAGTGTTGCTCAGGATCTGATTCTCCAGTCAGGTAAGATTGTAGAAATGATCAGACTAGGAACCTGCAAGGGACCTGCAAGAGAATGTTGCATGGTGGGACAGTTCTGTTTAGAGTTCCAGCTAGCCAGCCATGCCATATTTCAGCACAGTCCATTTCTATGCCCCCACCATAACAGTTAATCATAGCCACAGAGCATGTTCAGACTTCCCGGGAGCACATTCATATATTTATCTAAATGAAAATAGGTGCTGTTTTGCACCTATGCAACCAATGTTGGAGAATCTGGCCAATAACATAGAGATGATAGCACTTCTCCAGGGACACTGTTTAATGGCCTATTAAAAAATAGGTATTGCTATTAGGCAGCTTATCAAAAACATTCATGATTTATGTGTCTAGCCTCTAGGGATGGGGCTTAGATCAGCCTAAATCCATCCTGTTTCATTCCTTTTGGCACATCATGTTTTTCTAAAGAGTGCATGAAAGGTTACATGTGTTCTTCCATCCAGCTAAGTCATACTTTGAGTAGGCCCAATGAAATGAATGGCTCTTAGTCATAACCAGTGATTTTTAGTTCAAATGAAAAAATTTAGTTCAAATTGTAATGATGCACATTAATATATACATTATATTTCAATGGTACGTAAGCAGCATTACTGAGTAAAAATATTTACTTGTTTATTTGTTTATTTGTTTATTTGTTTATTTGTTTATTTGTTTGATTGTTTTAGTATGCCATTTTAAATCTTAACACAGAAACAAAATAATGCAATTTACTCAAGCACAATCATGAAAAGAAAATATTTTTTATCATTTCCTGTCAGAGATCGTTAATACCCTGAGACCACAATAATAGAATATTTTTGTCACTGTAGAAACTTTGATAGCACTCTTGATGTCAATGTCTGAATTTTTCTCCATTTTTGACAAAGACCAATGATTGCCATCAATCAAGCCGGTCGGCTATACAGTGGTACCTCAGGTTAAGTACTTAATTCGTTCCGGAGGTCCGTTCTTAACCTGAAACTGTTCTTAACCTGAAGCATCACTTTAGCTAATGGGCCTCCTGCTGCTGCCATGCTGCTGGAGCACGATTTCTGTTCTCATCCTGAACAAAGTTCTTAACCCGAGGTACTATTTCTGGGTTAGCGGAGTCTGTAACCTGAAGCGTATGTAACCCGAGGTACCCCTGTACAGAGGAAAATGGATAAATAGTTTATTTATTCAAAAACATGAGGGAGGAGTAATACCTGATTTAGGCTTGCCATATTTCAAAAAGTAAAATTCCTGACACCCTAGCCTTCCTCCAAAAAACACACGGGGGGAGGAAGATGAGGTCAGGATAACCAAGTCATAATGGGGGACATTTCTTCTGCTGCTCGGGGGGGCAGACCCCCCCAAAAAAACCCCTGTTTGCCACACATACAGGAAAATCCAGACATCGCTTAAAATTCAAAAATTCCCCCAGGATGCCTTTTTAGGCATCTGATTTCCTTGCATATCTGGAATTTTCAGGACATATGGCAATCCCAGCCTGATTTAGGTGGGACCAATTTTGGCTTTGTGAGGGAAACCAAATGAAGACTCTTTTTTGCGTGACCAGGCCACAACAGCCACAGCCCCCAAGGATCATAGGAAAGGAACAAAGACTCTCACAATGTGTTATGGAATTAAAATTAGGCCACAACTTTATTAAACTTCCGAATGTAAGAAGACCTTGGCTTAGGCATTGGGCGTGTATACCTCCCAGCCCCACCCCCAGCCAGGGGAACTGGGGCACATCAGGGTAAATGTGATATGGGGGTGCACTGCAAGATGTATGTGTACACAAGCAGCCCAGCCCATATCCCCACATGTAGTTCACTGACAACCTTTCAGTGTATAGCCAGTGACACCCATTATATAACCCCTTTAAGAGGGAACCCTGGGATCACCCCCCCCATAGGGAAAATAAGACTAAAGGATTCCACCCAACGCCATAATCACCAAAGTTGTGACGAATTGCTATAGGGAAGACAAAACCTGCCAATGCAGGAAAATTTATTCCCAATCCTTCAACAGCAACCAATCAAAGACCATAGCAGCACCCACTAAACAGTAAGAAAAAGTTAACCTGCAAACAAGAAAACATTAAACAAAGGGAGGGGAGGGGGGAATCTCCTGAGCCAACTGCCTGGCTACTTTTGGCTTCACCCCCTATATATAAATGGGACTGGCCTCAACTCCCAGCAAGAAACTTGATTACTGAGGCTGGACATTAACCTCCAATTAATAATGCTGAGAGGCAGGCCAGCCCCTGTTTGCCAGTATGTTCCCTGGGAACTGTAGCACCGTGCGCGATCCCACAAAGGGCACCCACAATGTAAAGTGTGAGTGCTCATTCTTCTTTGATCTAATTCAGGTTGCTCTTCTTTTTTGACAGGGTCAAATCAGAAAATTATATATGGAGTTGTGGGTGTTACCATTCTGGTGTTGGTACTTTTGATCTACCTTTTGGTCAAGAAAGGTGAGTGCTGGTAACCTGAAGCAATGATAATCTACCACGAAAAGGGTTGATTTTTCAAGTAGGAACAACATTTGAACTGAAACTCAGCTTTCCTTCAAAACACACACTTGCAATGCAAGTCTCCAACCAGAAATGTCTTTACTTTCTATGTGTGTGCTTATATGTGTGCGTGCACACACATGCACAGGTATGGGAGAAATTGTGCACAAACATGTATATGTTAGCAAAAAGAAAGTACAAAACTGAATTCTGTTAGGGGAAATTGTATCTATTTAGAGGAGTGTGCATTTAGAGGAGTGGCTTCAACTGCCACTCCTCCTTCATGAAACTGCCCCCTCCTTCCAATTTTGTGATAGGGTTGCCATATTACAAAAAGTAAAAACCAAAAACCACCCCTGAAGTTGTCAAGCTTTTCTTTTCTTTTCTTTACAAAAACGCCCCCCCCCCCAACCAAACACCACCTTTTGGAAATTACGGTACATCCAGATGACAATTCCGCCTTTGAAATACCTAATTTATGACAGCTTCTTTGCCTCTCTTCTTTTTTTGTTTTAGTGCTGTGTCGTCAGCTATCTTCAAGGCAGGACAGAGTCAACACTGAGCACATTCCTTTTGATTATGTGTAAGATTTTCATTTCTTCATTCGCTTTAGTTGTATGCCGCTTTTCCACAAAAAAAATTATGCTCAAAGCAGCATAGAAAGAAAGAAGGCAGGAATTTATTTCAAGCACTCCCAAAACAAGGTCATTGTTAACATAGCAAAACAATATTTTTTCATGCACTATGTTCTTTGTTCAGCCCTATTGTTGAGAATGTGTGGGGATTTTTGTTTCTTGTTTTTTACACTTTCTCCTAAGCTGTTTTCCGGAAAAGGCTTTCTGCCTACAGAACCAGTAAATATGTAGCATCACAAATGCATTTGTCTCTTGTTTTTCTTAGGGAAGAAACTGCAGTCAAGGACAATAGCAGAAACCTGGCCTCTGAAGAAGTTCAGTGTAAGATAATTCTTTTCTCCCTTTGGACTGAGGGTCATGAAAACCACAGTTGCATCACGAATCATGCCACAAGTCTAGCACACAATCAGAGGATCTGCAGAATGTTTAGCAGCTTTATATTTTTTGGTCTGAATAGTTAAGTTTGCAGACTTTGTGACTGTGGGAAAATGCTCTAAAAACGAGTATATACACGTTTCTGCTGAAAAACTAGGGAGACAGTTATGCTCTTCAGCTAATCACGTGACTGTAAAATGTGTTTGAAATATCTAAAATGAAGGATTAAGAACTTTGAATTCAGGTGTTACTTTTTAGTATTGCTATACAATCCCTTGGAGGTTTCTGTGTGAAAGGCAGTATTTAGTTTTAGGATACAAATATTATGTTCTGGAACATGAAAACCACAAATTTAATTAAGTTTTTAAAAATCCTTTCACTCTCCAAACCTAATGGAAGGTACAGTGGTTTTATTTTGTTATACAGCTGCATTCCAATGACCTCAGATGCAAACCCTTGTGTCTCCAGGAGAAACTAGATTTTTCTGCAGTTATTTCTAACTCAGTGAAGCTTCTGGTTCATGCTTACCTACAAAAATTGTAATACATTATTTGGTAGAATAGGCTTATAAATAGAAGTTGTGGGCTGTGGGAGAGAATGCTCTCACTGTGGTTCCTAACCCACATGACGCATTCAACAAACAGTGACGCCCACATAGCCATTTCGGAAGGCTTCTCTCAATGTAGCTTTACCAGAACCGCTGAATTTGAATGTGTTACTCATTTCCAGAGAGCTATTTTTGAAGGCCTATAGTATACAACTGTTTCTGTTGCCCTCCCTGACCTCTTAGTCAGATGCATTCTCAGGATAGCACAACCACCCAGACACTGATGGATTATAACTCTCATCAGACCGAGCCAACATGCCTTTCCACTCCTGACCCTTGCTGTTGAATGAAGAACTCAGACTTTCTGTTTCTTCCAAACCCATTAATGCATAGACCTGGGTGATACCCAGGCAAACAAGAGTAAAGGTACAGCAGATGAATTGTATGGCTTAGTGTGGGCTGAGACATTGATCCAAGAAGCTACACACACTCTGCCTCTTCCTTTTGAAGAGTAGGACAGAAACAAGTCTTGACATAGCAAACGAGAGGTATTTCTGCTCTGGAAAAGCAAACTAAGAAAGCAAATTGGCACTTTGGTGAGTGAATGGGGCCTGTGAGGTATGTTTATGTCAGTGCTGACTGATTCTCAGACACCTTTTCCTGGAGAAGCTCAATACTAGCAGGACTGACAGGAGGTGTCAGTGATGGCAATGGTCCTTGAGGAGCTGCGTGGGCATTGCTGTATTTGAAGCAAATGATAGCTTCAAGAAAGAGCCTGGTGATCAGGGATGAACCACTCTTAAAAAGCTGATACATGTTACAATTGTACACAATACACATAAGTACACATACTTATACACATCCTTGAAGTTGTACTATGCGACTAGACTAACTGTGAATTTGTCTTCAGATGCCACACTTACTGGACTCCATCAAACAGTGGTGAGTAAAATGTCTCAGCCAAATCTGGAGTGATCTGTCTTGGTACAGTAGACCATATTCAATTCTGACTTTGACTAGTTTATAAAGTGTAGCAGACAGCCTCCTACCCCTGAACCCAGGGCTGTTCAGGGGTAGGAGGCTGTCCAGTAAACTTGCCCCAGGACTCGGAGGGCTAAGCTGGCTGGGGGGGGCGCCAGGGGCCTGCGGGACTTACACTGTTATGGCAAGAACTTTATTCTAACAAAACTTCCTCCGTGAGCCTCAGACAAGCTCTGCATTGGCCTGATATTACCCAAGGAAGTGGACTATTGTAGCCTGCCCCACTCATACCCCCTCTGGGTCCACTTATGTACCAAGAACCCTGGGATACTGTGTAAAACTACAAATATATTCCAGATAGGTGAACAGTTTTTTCTTGCCATAACAACAATTGGCCCCAAATTACTTCTGTCAAAAAGCCAATATCAGTAGGTAACGATTTTTTTCCCAATTTCCAAGCGATCACCACCCCGAAATACAGAAACAACAACCTATGCATCTGTTACTCCATTGTACATGCAACCTGCCTGTGAGACCTCCAACATTTCACATGCCGATGCAGCATCCTCACAATGCATGACAATTTATGGGAATTGATAATATGGAAGAAGTTTGAAAGTGCTAGAACTGGAGGAATTTGGAAGCTTTACAGCCCCCAGAAGATCTGAGAAGACTTTCATCCAATTTTCTGTTTATTATTTTATTTACTCTTTCCTGCCTCTAACCATGAAGGATCCTTTATTTGTTTTCCTGCTGTTATATGCACTTACCGGTAACCTTCAAATTCTACCATATCCTCATGGTTGTGTCTGATTGCAATTTCATTGGTAATGTCAAATGTTAAATGATGTAACCACAGGTCGATGGAATGACAAAAGTGATGTTCATTCTGTTGTGTTAATAATGGTACACTTGTTTGTTCAACACAATAGAAATACCTGGGAATTCTGCTTGCTGACATCCTAGGCCTATAAATATGGATATCATAGAAAGCATAGAAATCATGGCAAATGTAATTTGCCTATTGGTTTGTTAGATACGAAGATGAAGTAATCAATCTCTCCTTCACACATGAGAATGTTGGAGATTATCCTATATTCTAAATTAGCAGTGCGGTCAAAGCCCAGCATCTGTCCGGATAAGAGAGTTTAGACAGCCTTCTCAGCAGTTGCGCCTGCCCTGTGCAACACCCTCCAATCAGATGTCAAGGAAATAAACAACTATCTGACTTTTAGAAGACATTTGAAGGTAGCCCTGTATAGGGAAATTTTAAATGTTTGATGTTGTGTTGTGTTTTAATTTGTTGGAAGCCACCAGAGTGACTGGGGTAACTCAGTCTGATGGGTGGCATATAAAGTTGTTGTTAGATTTTCCCAGGGCTGAGCCAGGGCAATGCTGATTAAGTTCCCTGTGCTGGCTGAGCTGGAGATATGAGCATGAATTCCCACTGGTGAAACATAAGCCAGTGTAAGTCTAAAAAGGGGGTGGTAGGTACATGATGGGGAAGGAGAGGCATACACTTATTCCAAATGCAATCTAGCGTAATCATGTGACTCAGGGCCTAATTCACAAAAATTCGGCCCACAATCAACTGCCAGTTCAGGAATAGGGGTAACTTATGCTTGCCAGTTTGGGCATGACTCAGTCTTACTGAACATAGTGGAATTTCCTCCAGCATGAATATGAATGAAGCTGGGCTTCCTATCTATACTTCATGTGCACATAGTACTGTAGAGACCTGAACACCACACAACAATAGGAATTGACTCATAACACAGTATGAGTTCAGAGTTGAGGAACAAGCAGTTTTTCTGGGGGAACTCCAGGGTTTGCAGTACCAGTCCTCCTCCCCCTTCAAATGTTGAAAGTGTGGCACTTACTGTAACAACTTCTCTCATGGAGGTTCTCCGCCTTCTCCTGTCCAGTGCAGATTCCCCTTTCTATTTAATCCATGATGGGTTTGATAATGTATAATTGAAATCCTGCTGCCAATTTTTTATTTATTTGACAAACAACATTAAAATTACATAACATCCCACATCACACCCTAATATATTACTGAACACAACTATACATTATCTGCATCACCAATCACTAATTTTATCAATAACTAATTTACAGAACAGAAAGAAGAAAAGAAGAAAAAAGAAAAAATTAAGAGAAAATAAAATTGACTTCCGATTAAACCCATTGTACTGTCACTTATTTTGGTTATTTTACACACAGCATAATACTATTATTTTGTCTTCCTAATTCTTATCCAAAGTATTTGATTATTTGTCACCTTCGTCTTACAAGAATCAATCGAGGTCTGCCAGGAGATTTTTATTGTTACAACAATTTTTCAAGTAATCTTTAAATATTTTCCATTCATTGTGTATCTTCCATGTCAGATATCCTCTGACTCTCCCTGTCATCATGGCCAACTGTAAATATTCTATCATTTGGACCCGCTATTCAGTTACTGTAGGAATCTTTTCACTTTTCCATTTCATTGCCACCAGAATCTTGGCTGCGGTTGTTATGTACATGAAGAGTGGTCTACCATTATTTTTTATTTCTGATGACATTATCCCTAAAAGGAAGGCCTCTGGTTTTTTTGAGAATGAGAACCTGAGTAGTTTTTTTTATTCATTATAAATGGAATCCCAGAATTCTCTAATTACCGTGCATTCCCACCACATATGCATATAAGAACCTGTACCTTTTTTACACCTCCAGTGAAGTTCTGATCTCTTTTTATACATTTTAGCCAATTTGGCTAGGGTAAGGTGCCATCTATATTGCATTTTCATGATGTTTTCTCTGAGATTATAGCACGCCGTAAACTTAATATCTTTCTTCCATAGTTTCTCCAACTGGTCCGTGTAAATATTGTAGCCAAGGTCCTCAGCCCACCTTACTATTACCCCTTTCACTTCTTCCTCTTTTACCTCCCACTGGAGAAGAATATTGTACATCCTTGATTATATTAATTCTTTTTCAAATTTAGATGTTGCATTCTCGAATACTTTCTTTCTAACCATACTTAATCTCTCATTTATTTGAAAATATTGTAAACAGTCCATCAGATATATCCTTATTTCTTTTAAAAAAATTGAGTTTCTTATTGTTTTCTTCTAACAACATTCTATATGTGGCCCAGTCTCCTTTCGTGTTTTTCTTTTTTGCAGTCAGGGCTTCTGTCAGTGAGGTCCACAAGGGGATTTTGGATTCTAATAGACTTTATATTTAACCCATATTTTATAAAGTGATTTTCTTACTATATGGTTCAAAAACCCCTTGTGAGCCTTCACCTTCTCATACACCAAATATGCGTGCCAGCCAAAGTGGTTATCAAAACCCTCTAAGTCCAGGACATCTGCATCTTTTAGAGCAATCCAGTCCTGAATCCAAACTAACCCGGCAGCCGCATGATATAATTCAAAATCAGGAAGGGTGAACCCTCCTCTCTCCCTCTGCTGCCAAAATTTCTTGATAAAACCATCTGTTTGTATGAAGATCCTGAAATCCTGATAGCTGCTGAGAGTGGCACGTGAAGGCGTTGGCACCTTGAAACTTTGTGTAACCCAAGTTATTTGTAAGCATTACAATATTCATCAGGGCTAACATTATCCACACTAACTTTTAGTCGTTGTTTCTGGCACAAGTTTCTCTCTTTGCTCTTCAATGTTCCAAAAGGTGCCAGTTGCATTTCCTGGCTTGGAACTGACTGTTGAAGCTGCAAGAGGTAGTCCTTTGTTGATTGTTTTTGGATAACAAAACCATTCTGAGCTCAGAAAAAATGCACCTCTGTTACTCCCCTTTTCCTTTCAGGTGTGTGTTTGTGTTTCAGAGAGCAAAGGTCAGGAACTGAAAACCACAAAACAAATTGAAAGTGCCAGCAGTGTAGAAGCCACCCTTTCTTGGAAAAGGAGTGGTTGTGGGAAATCAGGTTTGTTTCTGTCCTGGTGGATTAAAAGTGAAAGCCTCTTTTCTTATAAGGCACACAATTCCAGGAAATCGGCTCTTGTGGAGACAGGCTGAATAAATTCCTCTCTTGATATGTGAGCAACAGTTTTCTATCTAAGCCAAAAGTTTGTGGGCATAAAGGGACAGAATAAGACCACCTGTCCTTTTTCATTGATGCTATCTAAATTTCTGTTTTAGCACTTTGACCTCAAACTGAGGAAACTGCTGTGCAAATGACTTATTAGTGGTTTGTGTGTGAGTGTGTGTGTGTGTGTGTGAGAGAGAGAGAGAGAGAGAGAGAGAGACAGAGAGAGAGACAGTGAAAGGACGCACTTAGAGTGAGAGATGGTGGGAACAAATTGTTAATTCACTTTTATTGTATTTTTACTACCGGGGAGGCAGATTATCTGCCTCAGGTGCCAGATGTATAAGCAATGAAACAATGAACGCCAAGCACTCTTAATGGGCAATTCAACCTCATTTTCATGTGGATACCTATTTGGGCATCTAGAAGGCCTTTATTAACTAAAAGCATTCTTGAGGGCTTCCCTGGCAGAACAGCTAATTGGACTTAACCATTTCCTTGGACTTATCCCACTGCTGCATCAAACCTTGAGACAGAAATATCAAGGTGTGGGAGCCTAAGGTAACAAAACAGCTAGAATGCAAATACAAATAGTTTTAATGTGTTTTAAGTGAGGTCTAGTATATGTCATGTTTCCCCTGCCTTTGCACTCTATTCCACAAAACCGGCAGGTGGGAGGAAGTTTCCTTTTTATGATCAGTTGGAGATAATTTTGCCTCCTAGGTTTTCATTAAACTTGAACAGGGATAGGGAAGATGTGGCCCAACAGGGATGGGGAAGAGGTTGTTGTACTACAACTCCCATCTTCCCCAACCATTCACCATGCTGGCTCAAGCTGATGGAAGCCATCAATATCTGGAAGGCCACAGATTCCCCTTCCTTGGGCAAGCTGCTTAATATCTTGAATCTGAAAGTTTGGCTGCTAGGGGTGGGCTTTCTTTGGTAGCCACCTTCCTTTTGAAGGTGGTTTGGGCACAGCCTGTCCTTACTCTCCATCCAAGGACCACCTACACCTAAATGTAAGAACTCCTTATGAAGTGTTTGTGTGAATTCTTAGACTTTAAGAAGATCAAGGCTGGATCTAGACACATCAAAAAACATTTCAGGAAAATGCGTTGTAAAGCTCACTATGCAAAATCACATTGCCGAAGGATCGAACTCTACAGCGCCATCCGCTGTCACAGTGTTATAACACATTTAGAACCCTGTATTTTGACTAATGTAGCTGAGTCCCAAGTCAGGTCTACTTAGAATCTCCTCTCCTGTTTCAGATCTGAAATCAGAAACGAGGAACCTTTGGCCATCCAGACATTATCAGATACCAACTGCAACCAGACCTTGCAGGCATGGCCATGGTCAGCACTGATTGTAATTGTAGTCAGCAAAAACTGGAGGCCCACAGCTTAGCTAACCCTGTCTTAAAATTCTTCTGGAGTCACAACAGCACTGTAGCATAGCTTTTTGTTTAAGTGGTCTGATCATCCCAGTCTCATTGCTGAATGCTTAGCGAGGGAGTTTTTCACCTACATATCAGCTCACAACTCATGCAATTCCCCTTCCCTTTCGCTGCTTCCCTTTCAGTGTATGATTAATCATTAACTGGAAAAATCTACAGCAAGAACAACAGCATATCACTTTTCATGCACTGCAAGCCGAATCATGATTATTCCACTTTTAGGCGGTAAGATTTTTTTATATCTCTACAAAAAAAACCATAGCAAAATTACCCACAGAAAACCACAAATATTGTGGGGATAAGGGGTGAAGGAAAATTGGAGAACTATAATCAAAAAGAGACTTTTAACTCACCTGGGAATAAGTCTCATTCAATTCAATATGGCTTTCTTCTGAATGGAAATGTACAGGATCACAGCCTTAATAACTTGGTGACAGAATAGAACTCCTCTTGAATTCCACGCTCATTCCCCTTCCATGTGGGTTTTGCCTATACATTTTTTAATTATCCAAACTGATGTTCAAATGCTTCTTTGCTTTCATAGCTGTTCTCGCCAACTCCAGGAACAGTGCCATTCACTTGCTGCCATTCCTGATTATGAGTTATTCAGCAACTGGTAAGTATTCTGAGTGGTGTTTTTTAAAAAAAGTAATTGCCTTGGCCAGTTCCCTGCTCTGTTTTTACTAGAAATGTCAGCTTTAATCAATTTAATTGACAGTCACCAACTAAAGATTTAATTGGAGGGACTTTTATTTTTATTGGTAAAGAATATAT